AGTCTATGAGGTAATTCCTTGTGGTTGGAATGAAAAGGAAATTTAAATAAGATGTAAGGCTACGTCAGTGGAGAAGGCATGAGTTGAGGTGTGAAGATCATCATTGTGATGGGGAGGCCCCATTCAGAAGATATGGAAGTAGGCTTGTAACTTCTTGATTCTTGAGGAGCTCCAGCAGTTCTTTCACAAGTGAAACCAGGCGTTGAGCTGTGGATGCAGGTGTGTCCTTGAACTGTTGTCTTTTTCCACTGGGGAGGCCTCGCACCCAGTGAAATTGGAATCGTGGTTCCCGTCGCAGTTACAGCATTTGGCGGGAGAATTTTTGTCCTTTTCACATTGGTATGAATAGTGGAAATCTGCACATTTCATGCATCTTGGCTGATTGGAACAGGAACGCTGAGTATGGCTGTAGCCCTGGCACCGAAAACACTGTAGCGGCCGCCCGCCGCCACGGAATCTCTCGGTGCTAATAAGAGTCTGCTTGATACTCGAGATGGAGTATACCTTCTGCTGATTGGCCAGTGGAGTGATGATGAGGAAAAGGGGGAGGAGCCTATAGGCTCCACCCACCCTCTTCTTGAACTGGATAACTCTATGGGAATTGATGCCTAATTTCTCTATTTCTAGAGAAATATCTTTAGTTTTGAAGTCGACTGGAAGCCCTCGGAGGTGAATTTTTGCAGACTTGAGTGGCTGTTCTTCCTTGGGTTCCGAAGCTGTGGCAGTAGTAGGCTCAGGCTCTGGGTAGGTTACAGGAGTAGAATGGCTGCTAGTAGTCTTTGTAGAAGTTCTATGACTTTGCTTCTTCTTCTTCCTTTTTCTCCTCTTAACTGGCGGTTCTTTGTTGTTTTGGGTCTGGGGCTCAGTTTCTGAGGCCGAAGCCTCCTCGCTATGCTCCGAGTTGTTTTCAGTGCTGTTGTCCGATACGGGAGATTTCGCTTCAGGAGTAGTTTCTATCTCTGAGGATTCCTTCGACTTTTCAGGTTGGTTCAGCGTGACTGTTTCCGTAGGCATGATTTCTGTATCAGGCTCCTCAGGGAATAGTTCTTTTCTTCTGATGATGAGAGCTCTCCACGGGCGTATATAAGGGGGGTGCCCATGGGGTCCAGACCCCCCCCCCCTTAGCTTGAGTTTTTTTTAATATCCATATTTCCAAATATCGTATAGAACTTCTTATAATATACGTCTTGCCTTGAAGAATAATTTTTTAAGAAACATGTGGAAAAAAAATTTCGTTTGCACCTTACAAAAGCTGAAGAATCCCTGGTTTTGCATGTTTCATTGAGCGAAAGAAACGAAAGTTTCATCGAGAAAGTTCCGACGAAATTGTAAATAAGTTGTCAACAAGGCGCAAAAGATTAAAGTTATTACTTTAAGCAATTAACATTTTTCTATACTCTTTGATGATTGTTTTCCTTGCAATAAACAAATATTTTACACACCTGTGTGATTACTGAAATATTAGTAGCTTATATTACACACACACACACATATATATATATATAGTGGAAATTCTCGACCCCCCCCCTTGTAAAAGCTATAGCTACGTCCGTGGAGCTCTCACTTGAAATTCACAGGTGTAAGGTGATTTATCTCCTTTTTCTATTTGCCGTTGCCATGCAGACTTATTTTTCTCAATTTGTAAATCAATGGCTTCTTTAGTAACGCAATGATCAACATATGTAGAGCAGAACTCCAAACGCTGTTCGTCAGTTTCCAGCATATGGAATCTTTCAGTATAAGAGGGTTGCCGCACGGGCCTCTCGGCTCGCCGCTTCCCATCTCGGGTAAAACGTTGTTAAGGCATGGTACGCACAGAGCTAGTTTCAACACAATCGCACTCTACAGAGGCTTGAGTCGAACTGGCTTAAGACGCTGTCGAAAAAATTAGAAATTTGGGAGGAAAAGGGGGAACCAATAAGGGTCCAGGAAAAACACTAACCGCAAGACGGGAAGCCCCGTTTTAAAATACCCAGTGGGCAGGAGGGAAGAAGAAAACTGTAAAAAAAAAAAATTAAATAAAATAAAAAAAACAAGATGGCTAAGCAGCCAAAAAGTAAAACATGGGGAAACGTTAAATAAAATTGAATGGCGCTTAAAACAAAAAACAAAGGTATAAAAGGTGGTAAAAGGATAAAATTAAATGAGAACAAATCGCTAAACTAAATAATATAAAAGGAAAACAAATTGTTGTTGTGGTTAATTTACGTCGCACTAGAGCTGCACAATGGGCTATTGGCGACGGTCCGGGAAACATCCCGGAGGATGATCCGAAGACATGCCATCACAATTTTGATCCTCTGGGTAGGGGATGGCACCCCCGCTTCGGTAGCCCGACGACCTGCGCGCGAAGTCGAGCACTTTACGGTAGCACAACAAACGAATTGAAGGGGAATAAGATTAAATTAAAGAAAAAAATAAAGAAATACATTGTTCAAAAAAACAATATCGCAGAGCACTGTGACAAGTACCAATATTCAACTCTTGTAATTTTGATCCCATTCCGGAAGACATTTGCCTTCGTAGAAGATTTTTGGATGGAACTAACCTGCCTTTGTGCTTCGTGGAGGGGGAAAACCATGTAAAACTCCCACAGTTAGCCTGATGGCAAGGGGATTCTAACCCATGATCCGTCTACCAGTGAGGATATTTTTCGTCACCACTGTTGGGTGCGGAACTCATATCGACCAGCCATCTCTGGGATTCAAACTTGGTGCACCTTACTGGAAGGTAAGCGCTTCATATACAAGAACCACCTCGGCTCATGAAATACAGTTTTACTTATAGGGCAAAATGGAGGGTGATACCGGCCACAAAGCGACTCCATAGAAAAAAAATGTGCTTGTTTATGGCCAGCCGATCGCCACTTTTTCGTCGTAAAGGCAGCCTTGTGCACCAAAGCAACTTCGCGTATTACACAAAAAAGAAACGTTTTTTAAGCTGGTTAAATAGTTCAGAGAGGCTGAATTTAATGTTGCATTCAAATTCGAGTTCACTTCATGATACTTAAAGAAAAAAATTATTGACGACACTACATACAGATAATTTTATTAACATATTCAAATTTATTTCATTACGAAGAATTTTATGTTTCTAATATAACATACTTTTTATGTCACAATGATGGTTAAAATTTAAAACCTAAATTTTATGAGTTAAAAGCGTTAAATAGAATATTTAAAGTTTCTATAAATCTACTTGAAAAGGTCAGAAATGTTTTTCCTTCATTTTAGAAAAGTACCATGTTGTGTTTACTATATTTTGAATAGTACCTAACATTATTAATAATATCAATAATTTCAATTTTTGAAAAAATGGCCACTATTAAAATTTTGTACTACCGTCACTGACCGTTTACAAAATTTTTTATATTTGTCCTATAGTTCTGAGCCATTCTGAGGTATGGTCAATGGCATGCAGGGGGAAAACTTCTCCTGATTGATGTTCCCGAAAAGAGAAATATAATTAAGTGATGGGAACATTTATTTAAAAAAATAATTAAAAAAATGCATAAAATTTATTTAGAACAAAATATTCTTTAGTCATCAAATGCATTCCCCCTTTTTTCTGTATAAATAGGACTGTCGCCCTCTTCTCTTTTTCATTCTTTTTCTCTTTCTTTTTTGAAGTTTTATATTTTTGGAACAAAAACTCGGATTGTATAATATTTTTTTGCCACTATGATTAAAAAAATAATTATGAGAGTTTAGTTCTTCGCCCATATAAATCCTGTTTGACTCTAAACAAAGTAAACTGCCAATACTTAGCAGTAATGCGACAATGCAATAGGATTAAAAAAAATTTTTTCTCAAATATTTGTCGTTAAAACTACACGAACATCTATTTACATGTTATGTTCATTATTCTATGAAGGTTTTATTGTGAGACAGTCACAAACCATTTAATAATAAATAATAAAAAGTTTTAGGAAAATTTTGATTATAAGAGGATGGTTTCAAGTTTTTGCTATGATTTCAATAAAAAAAAAAAAATTCTAGATAATATTAAATCTTAATTTGGTATTTATTAGTGCAAATATATAACGTTTTTAAACAAAAACATAGAAAATGAGTCTTTAAACGCTACAATTTAAGTATGGATTTTCATTTTTTTTTCTTTTTTGATATGATGGATTGTACTTGGAAATGATGTGTGGCAGTTCTACCGTTGATATAAAATTGATCAAATTTCTAAGAATAGATTAATAAAAAAAGTTTTTAAAAATTATAAATTAAAAAAAAAATTACAAAAGTTTAATAAAGTATGATATATTAGAAGGGTTTTGTACATAAAATAAAGCAAAGAATTATTTAAGTCTCTAACTAACACAAAATTTTGTCATAGTAAGTTAGTTAAGTCTTCCAGTGAAATCAAAGTAAATGGTTGTAACATTGAAATGAAAATTTCTAGAAGGATCACTAACTAGGTTCAGAGGCCAGAGTGTTATGTAATGGAAAGTAACGTAACAGCTTCTTTGATAAATTTTACTAAAATATTTCAAGCTAGCTACGATTTTTGAGTTGCAGAGCGATTGAGATTCGTAGACCCCTGGTAATAAGTATAAAATAAAAATTTATTTTTAGAGTAAAAATAAAAATTTTATTAAATTCATTATTAAAAAAATTTTTATCTCAAAAATAGCTCATAAAATATATTTAATTATTTTTCATTTGATATATATTAATTATTATTATTTATATTAATAATCTTTGCAATTTACAAGTGGACTTCAATTCTCACATATATTTTAATTTATTTTGATCTTTATTCTCGCTTAACACCGATTTTTTAAAACTAATTTTTTAAATTATTTTTCCGTGTTTATAAATTAACATTATTTTCACTTCGCAATATTTCGACCATGGAGACAGAGTATCGCTTCAACATTCACGATTTTGACTGGAAAGAAACTTCTTTGTTGCAAAGTCGCCAAATCCGCCTACTCTTGGCATCTTCTCTGGCAACATTGTTCATATGTGTTATGGCAACCTGCTTAATGTTTTGAAGACTGTCAAAAAACTTTTTCTCCCCGTCTTCCGCGCTTTTCGAATGGCTGTGTTTGTTATTGAGTATGTTGTGTTACTTTCATTCGTTAAAAAGTGGTTAGATGATGTTAAATTATCATATTTCTTGCCATGATATTGACTTATGATGAGGTGTTATGTTCAAAATATATTTAAGTGGCTGTTAGTAGCTTTTCTTATCGTTTGCTACACTTTATTGGTTATTTTGTGGCAGGTCGACGTACCTCGTCATCAGGTGTCTGAGTGGTCAGACAACAAAGATGGCGCTATCATTCGGACGCATACCAAAACACGTGAATATATTCAAGAAAGAGCGCCTAGATCTCTTCAAAACTTGGAAGAAGAAACTCAAAAATTTAAAATAAATAATCTTGTTGTTCGTGCCATAAAAGAAACTCGTAACAATCAGACTACGAAACTTAACGATCTCTTCATTAGTGTAAAAACAACTAAAGCATTTCATCAGAGTAGAGTCAATATTATTTTAAAGACCTGGTTTGTTTTGGCTAGAGATCAAGTAAGTTATAATTTTAGTCATTATTTTTTAATTTGGGATAATATTTCCCCAAAGGGACCCTTTCTTTCTTAAATTAAATCCATATTCTCCGTTACTGAAGTGTGACACTGTAAAATTCATTAAAATTATCCACTGTGATTTATTTGAAAAATATTCAAAAGTATTTATATATAAGTTATTCTGATTAAATGTATCTTCAAACTCTTAAAATATGTGTTTAATCTGGTGAACGCTCTTAGAGATTCGTGGACCAGTAGCATACACAATGCACTTTAAAAAAAACATCCTCTATTTTTGTAATTATATTTATTTTTTGATTTTTTTAGCTTATTAATTGACATTTAAGCTATATATCTTTAACCAGGGTTATTCATGAATATAATTCGACAAAGTTCACAGTATTATCTCGGTGTGTTTTAAAAATATAAAATGTTCCATTACACCTATTTCTGTGCCCCCCCTCCCTCAAAAGTTGCCTTATAAGCAATGATTTAGAAGGTCACAATTGTCTATTTGTTGTGTGAGTGTATACACTGTTTACAAACAATGCTATTTTGCTTGGCACCTTACTGGTTGTTCATAACAGTGGCGCTAATGATGTGCGTCAATAAGTTCTTGCGGGCAAAAAGTTGTAAAAGTTCTGGCGCAATGAATGAATTAAAATATCGCAATTTGAAAAAACTCTGCAATAATTACATATATATATATATATATTAAAAAAAAAAAAACATTGTATATGTTGTTGCTTGGCGCCATTTTGGCTGATTTTATGCGCCAATACATTTTCCTTTGCAAAAAGTTCTAAACAGTTCAACCTGTTGTGATGAATGAATAAAACTTGGAAGTTGAAGAGGCAGTCTGCATCATGGGCAGAAAATAAATAATGCATAACCACTGTTTTCTTGTTAAACTTTATTAATTAAAATGAATTTATATAAGTTGCCTTTTTAATTTATTAAAAGGTTATTAATAAATAACAATCAGAAAAACTAAATGTGTTTGCATTTTAGTTAAGATAGTATATCTATAAGAGTATTGTTCAAATAATTTATAGCAGTAAATTTAACAGTTTATATTGGTTGCACTGAGAAGTTTTTTAATGCTTTGCTNCCTATTTCTGTGCCCCCCCCCCCTCCCTCAAAAGTTGCCTTATAGGCAATGATTTAGATTTAGCAGGTCACAATTGTCTAATTGTTGTGTGAGTGTATACACTGTTTACAAACAATGCTATTTTGCTTGGCACCTTACTGGTTGTTCATAACAGTGGCGCTAATGATGCGCGTCAATAAGTTCTTGCGGGGCAAAAAGTTGTAAAAGTTCTGTCGCAATGAATGAATTAAAATATCGCAATTTGAAAAAACTCTGCAATAATCATATATATATTAACATTGTATATGTAGTTGCACAAACATTGTATATGTAGTTGCTTGGCGCCATTTTGGCTGATTTTATGCGCCAATACATTTTCCTTTGCAAAAAGTTCTAAACAGTTCAACCTGTTGTGATGAATGAATAAAACTTGGAAGTTGAAGAGGCAGTCTGCATCATGGGCAGAAAATAAATAATGCATAACCACTGTTTTCTTGTTAAACTTTATTAATTAAAATGAATTTATATAAGTTGCCTTTTTAATTTATTAAAAGGTTATTAATAAATAACAATCAGAAAAACTAAATGTGTTTGCATTTTAGTTAAGATAGTATATCTATAACAGAATTGTTTAAATAATTTATAGCAGTAAATTTAACAGTTTATATTGGTTGCACTGAGAAGTTTTTTAATGCTTTGCTCTATAATTATTTTATGCATTTGATGTAGTGTATAGATATTTTGCTTTATAATTGTGATCATTTGATGCAATGTTTTAATTTAAATGCTTTGCTCTATAATTATAATATTTTATATTAGGACAAATTAATCGTAAAATCTTATCGATCACCTCTTAAGATTTAGGGCTGCATTTTAGGTTAGTTTAATTAAGTTATAGAAATTCAGGACTTCACTTGAGGATGATGAAAGAAAGTGTGCACCTGAAATATTAATGCCCAGAGAAATCAGGTTTCTTAAAAAAATCTGGAGAATCGATAATTTTTGGGAGAATGAAATTTTTATTGGCAGCTCATAACTTTTTTTAAACTCAAATATTCTTTTCATTTACTTAATATTTCAACGCTATTTTAAGATGGCTTTTTATCATTTGAGTAATTCCATCACTTCAGTGTAATTCTTAGACCAACTTTTTATAAAACTTTTTAAAAAAAGAAAGATACTCTTTATACAGCACTCTACCAGCACAAGAGCACCAATTTTCTTCAGATACTTTATTTGTTTAGCTAGTAAATTTATATAATAATTAATCTAAATTTTATATATAATGCTTCAATTAAAGTTATATAGTTTTTACCTATTTTTTTAATGAGTTTTATTATAATAAATTATTATTAATATTCCCTAATATTTTACTTTTTAATATAGTTTTTAAAACATATGCTGTTAAAATATTTTGACAATTTTAGCATTGGTTTAAAAACTGGGTAAATCAAATAAATACTATATAAATTTTTTCATTAAGAATCTAATTAAACATAAAACCTTACCCAAAAGAAATAATCTTAAATCAGTTGTCAATTGAATACAAAGGTGGTTTTCTTTAGTAGAAACGTTTTGATCAAAAACTTAATAAAATTATAACATTGCAAAAATAAACACTTTGCAAATAATAAAATTTTTTTTAATCATCTTGCAATATTTCATTAAATCTCAATAAATCTAATATTTTCAGTAATCATTGTATCAATTAGCCGCTGTGTACTGCCCTATAGGACCGGAAATCGGCATAGCGTATGTTATAATGGTTTAAAAACAAATAATTTTTTCAGTTATTCGAAAACATAGAGTTTTAGTAAAGGAAATAAAAAAATGTGAGGTTGCTAAATAAATAGAAGCAATTGTGACTAGAATGATAGAAAAACAAAATGGTATAAGAGCATTTAAACACAATAAATAGATTGAAAGAAAGTTCTTGCAACATCACAAATGATTTTCACTCTTCCTTCAATTAGCGATTATTTGTTGTCAAGATTTACCATATAATTTTGGGTGCTCTATAGCAAACATTTGCAATCTGTAAATTTTGATTTTATTTTTAGTCCTTTTCATTATTTTATTATTTAGGAAGATTAAAAAAAGGAATTGAAAAATGTCTTCTTTGAAGGGTTTCAGAGATGTTTTGAACAGTTTTGAGCACAAAAGATTTCTAAAGAATATTTTCTCAAAATATTATAAATTGAATTAACATCTAAACTTAGTATTATGCTAAGATACACTTTTATAGATTTAATCTGGAGAAACAGTTTTAGATAAATTTTTTGTTTAGTTTGAATTTGCTTTTAAACAGATGTTAAAGAGTTTTTGAAATGAATAATCAGATTTTTTGAATGAATGAATGAAAAATCTAATCATGATGACTTTATTTATTACGCTTTCCATAAATTTGCTTAGAAAAGACACGAAAAACAGCAATAAAGCACGATTCCCCCAATGCAATGTTAATTTAGGAAAATATATCATTTTGTAGATGATTTAATATTTATCAGTAAAACTTGCATGCAACAGATTGCACTGGGAAATTTTTTCTTGCTGCATTGATGCAAGTAGTTTGATCATGTGGGGATTTCATTGTTTTGTTCAAAAAACTGTTGAGTTTTTTTTTTTTTTCACAATGGTATTTTTAGTTTAGTTTATTTTTGTCTGCATTTATACTTTTATAAGTAACTTATACACTTGTCTGAACCTTTGAAAGTAATAGTTAAGGCAAAAAACTTACGTCTAATTTATCACATAAACTGATATCGCTTTCTTCCTACCACGTCCTACTTACCAGAGAAGTGAGGATGCTCAGAAGTGAATGAATTTGTGAGTGAGTTTTAAATTTAATTCTGCTTTAGACGAAATTATTAAATTGCATTAAAACTGTAGCCTGTAGAAAAAAACCAATCGCAAAGTTGATATCGGTGATGCGAAAGTATCTAAGATTTGCTTTTAAAAAAATCACTCAAAAAGTGGTCGAAATTTTGATTACGATTGTGGGAGTCCAAATAGGTATAAATTTCTATTGTCATCTGATACAATGCTGTTGTTAAAATCTGAGCACTGTAACAAGTCGAATAGTGGTTGAAATTTGAGTTTCAATGTTTGATAGAACAAATTAATGAAAAACTGAAATAAAAAATATGGTTTAAGTAATTAAAAGTTATTTAAGATATAAAGTTGTCAAAATGGTCTGACCTGTCTTTAAAAGAAATGAAATGGATTAACGGGATTTAAATTAAAATAGGTCTATTCAAAACTTATTTTACTTTAGAAACGTTCTCATATTATTTTATGATAAAAACGAAGTATTTTATTCTAAAAATAGTCGAACACTTTACAAAATTCTTTTTTAAAATGGAATCAATGACTTCATCAATAAGTGATCTCAGAAGTCTAGAGAGTCTTTCCACAAAACCACTAAAATGTCACTAAGAATTAGGATTCACGAACCTTCAACAAAAGTCTTCTGGAATGTCTAACAGGCAACGTCTTCAGCATGAAAATTATTACTTTTAAATTTAATAATATTATATTTTGTCCCACCAATGAATAAAGGAGGCCGTTCAAATGTTATGTATAAGCAAATCGCAACCCTCCTCTCATGATTACATAAGGAAGTCGATATACCCTTTTGCTTTAACACTGTTGTAATAACCTTATTCTTATTAAGTTAACTAAATTGAAACTTTCATTATTTACTAAAATTAATAATAGGTTGCGAATTTTTAAAAGAGCATATGTTATGTTTGATAAATTTTTTAAGAATGTTTTGAACTAATTTATTTATTAAAATGATTCTATGTTTATGAATTTTTTTTTAAAATTTTATTTAACGAGGTAGTATGATAAGATTAGAAATAGCAATTGCAAATATAATTAAAAAGGAACAAGGTATAGCTGATATAGTA